GGATGACTCGCTATTTATCTAATGGTATCTGCGGGACTTTAGCTTCCAGTTATAAAGAAACCTTACAGAGTTATTATGTAGCATTATGATTATTGCCCAGAGTATATGACGAGTGAGAATCTACTTCTTCACCACCTGTGGCTATTCTCGAAACCATAGATAGAAACCTAGATTCTCATATAGAACAAATATATAATTAAAATTTAAAATTAAGAAAATGAATCCTTTTAGTGTTCCAATTTATGAGTAAGATTCCAAAGAATTCAGACCCCAAACAGTTTGAATAATTATGAGTAGCCTAAGAAGTACAGAAGAAAGATGATAGTCTACTCCATCCGCGTCGAGATGGTCAATCATTTTGCTATTTAGGGCAATTAAGAGAATTTGGTAGAATTGTGATGTGCAGACTGCCCGCCAAAAAGGCAAAAGATGGAGATGAAGACAAAGTGAGAACTATTATGCCTCTTAAACTTCGATGTTTATTTGAAGGAGATCTGACATTTAATCAAAATGTGTACCAGAATGCTGAATGATTTGGTGACCGTAGTCAAGTCTTCAATTGAAGAAATTACCTCAGGTAAATCATACATATTCCAACGAAGCTCTGCACATGGCTAGGAAAACAAAGAAAATTTGGCTGGAGGATAACGTTTTCGTTTTTTACTATGTGACTCCTGATACGTGGTCTGGAAACTCAGCTAATTGCTATTCACTTGAATATTATTTGCGGGACACAGATGAACGGATAACTGAGAAGACTGCCTCTAACAGTAAAGGCGAGTTGAGAAGTAAAATCTGTCCGGTATTTCAAGATTTATCTCTTTGAGAGCTATATAAGCCCTTGTTCTCGTTTCCGATATTGTATGCTAGCTGTGATTAATGTTAAAGGCAGATTGAGTGAGTAAGTTCCAACTATAAAGCATTGCTTTGCTCTAGTATCCGAAATTTTTAATAAATGTTTAAAATTAGAACTTTTAGATACGTCTTTCATGCCATATATACTCGTGCGCATCGTAGATATATATTTTGAGTTATTTTGTGAAGTGAATTAATTTTTAAAACAATTTAGAAAAGTGTGTATTTTTTCCTTTTTCTCTAAATGTGCCTGATTGAAAATGAAAGATTGAGTTTAGAAAATGTCAATTCAGTTTGTATTTTCCATTTTTGTATGATATTGTTTAACTGTTAGCATACTTTTCGACTCATGTTTTTTGAAACAATTATTGACATCTGCAAATTTTCTGATAAAGAGTGGTTCTAAAACGTATTTTATTTCACAGAATAAAAAGAATGGCGAAGTTAAAATATATATTGTTAAAAGATAAAAATAATTTAGAAAGAAGTAAAAGTCCGGAATAGAATATTATCCTGGATATGCAAATAAAGTAATAACAAAATTCTCATAAAGATTTGAATCATTTTAAAGAAGAAATACACGTAGTATAAGATAAAGAGTAGTAGAAGAGCGAGATGAAAGAAAAAACAGAATAGCGGAAGTATTTTCTTGGAAGGCTAAATTCTAAAAACGTTCATCGATTTCGGTAGCATTTCTTGATTGGCAACGGTTCAGTTTGGATGAAATCAATATATGTTCTCTCAAGCATCTTCAGACTTTATTATCTGTCAACAAGTGCTGTTCGTATTCAGTTGCTGCAAGATGTTATTTTAAAAATCATAAAACATTTTAAGTCAGTGCTTCCTTGCGTAATATTGTTTTTCTTTACGGTTTAATATAGATACCATTTTAAGAATCCGTTATGAAATAAGTAAGATTGATTTTTTCTTTAATATGGAATTTTAACTATTAATAAATTGTGAGTATTATCGAATATCATGTTATTATACATATTTAATTAGGTATTGAAAGTATTACGTATTTTATCCAAGTTAATTTAAGGAGATAAACTTGACGTGGTTAGGTTTGTAATTTTCTATATTAATCAAAATAAATATTAATCCTCCGAGCGTTACGGGATTAGCCCTGAAATTTCAAAATTCCTCACAAAGTTTCCCAATAAACGGTATTTCTTGATTATAATTAAAAGATGACTCTGTCACGTTGTACTTAATTTCTTTGCTTCCAATGGACATCCAACCCGAAATCGCATACATTAAAAGCTGGCAGAAATTTTTATGAGTAGTGAATACGAAAGCCTCCCTTATACAGAATTTTACGTCTGTAATGCTAAGAGGGTTTCCAGGAAATGAAAGCATATAGTTGAAGAAAATGAATGCTGTAAGAGGCAGTTTGACTACTCATTTAGTGACGCTGTATTTCGTGTAATCTTCCCGCCCAGTTAGTTGTGTTGCTTTCGATAAATTTTCTGGCATTTTTCAATATTTAGAGATTGCTTGTAAATTGGTGCCGAATTACTAAGCATTTAATTTACCATTTATTTTCTACATATTTGGCTTGTATTTCAGGACTCCGCAAAGTGTGGTAATTAATTTAAGACGTTTTAGTTAGTATCTACCAGTGAGAGTACAAATAAATTTTCAGTTTGATTTTACTGTGGTTGTATAAGGAATTTAAGTTTTTACTAACGTTTTTTTTTATTTTAAATTTTATTATCCTCTCTTATTTTGCATTTCCGGCCAGAATAAACGCGAGTAGGATTTTTATGCTAAGGAGTTACAAAACTGTAGAAGGTATTTAAGAAGTGGCTTCTATCTAAGAAGAGAGAGAGCCTTCCCACTGTCCTGCTACGCGCGTGCTTTTCAATCAATTCGTCCCTACCTTTATGTCAGAACTTAGTTCCTGCTGATATACTAGAAGTATTCTAGTATTTGCATCTAGCTCACTACATACGCAGTGTCAAAAGTCCAATCTTCGTGTTAATAGTCTCTGCGAAGCATTTAAGTTTAATTCTTATTTAGTTTAGTTAGTTGTTAAGTGAATGCTTCTTATTTTTTTACGTTTTAGACCAAAAATGTTGGTTTCTGTATCCTGAAGTGTAGGAGTGTCTGCACAATAAGCCGTTTGCAGCTTAGGAAAATTAAACGACTATTTATTTTCAGCATAAATAATATATGCTTTTAAATCAATGATTTTAATTTAATTCTGGTATATGATGACAGTATTAGAAGTGTCAGAGTTATCGTTAATAGCCACCAAGTAAACGAAAGAAACCGTAGATCGGAAATTCGGTTTAAACTATAAATTTGGATATGGAATTCATAATTACTGTCACTTTCGTTACTCAGAAAGTTCATATAATATAATGTTTTAGTGCCTTTCATCCACACAGCTTTAAAATAGAAAGTGCTGTAAAGTGGGAAAGAAACGTATAAATGAATGTCTAATGCTTTTCTGATATAGGCATATATTATTAGTTATATTTCTACTATATTTAAAAACTGAGATTTCTGTAAATTAAAAAAATTGCACATTTAGCGTTAAAATTTCAATTGAAATTAGTTAACATATTCAAATTTGCATAATTTATTTAAATCTACCAGCTCCATTAGAATAAATGTTTTTGTTTTGTGCTATTCAAATTTTTGTTGTTGAGTACGATTCAAGATACAGATGGAGGACAAAATAATGCGAACACCTGTGAAAACGTATGACGTAATTTACACTTGCAGTACAGCCGCGTCACCTGCAACAGAAGTCTGCCACCTAGTGAGCGTGAAAAGGAAGGTATCAGTCTCTCAACAGCAGTCACCTGCGTTGCATGCTTCGATCGAACTGCTGTGAGAAGTTGAAATGTCAGACCTGTCAGAGTTCCAAAGAGGAATGATAGTTGGAGTGCGTTTAAGTGGAGCATCGGTTACGAAAATAGCAAACCTTGTGAGGTGAGCAAGGAGTACGGTATCAGCCGTTAAGACAGCATACACGAAGGAGGGAAAGACGAAGTCTTTAAAGCACAACAGTGGCCGAAAGTCAAACCTGGTGGATAAGGATAGACGCATATTAGTCTTGAAGCGCATAGTAGCCCGAAAGCACAAGCAATCATTATCCGAGATAACACCCAAAATGAACAGCCATCTCCAGGATCCCATTTTAACAGAAACTGTCAAAAGGGAACTTCATGCTGCGAACATTTATGGTAGAGTGGCAATTCGTAAACCCTTGGTAAAAGCAACTAATGCTTTTAAGCGACACCAATGGTGCAGAGGTCACAAAGGCTGATCCCAATAGCAGTGGCAACAGGTAATATGATCAGATGAATCATCATTCACCCTATTTTAGATGACCGGACGCGTTTATGTCTGGAGAACACACAAAGAAGCGTTTCATCCTGGCTGCCTCTTTCCGACTGTGAAGCAAGGGGTGGCGCCATTATGGTATGGGAGGCGATATCTTGGCGCGGTCTAGGGCCACTCGTTATTCTGCATAGGAGGATCACATCCAATCACTATCTAAGCATTCTAGGGGATCATGTACAACCTTTTGTCCAGACTGTATTCCCTGGGAAGCGAACGTTTTTTCAAGACCACCACGCTCCTATCGACACTGCTAGGTGTATTCAAGAATGGTTCGAAGAGCATGACGATGCAATTGAACATCTCGCTTCGCCCCCTCAGTCTCCGGACTTGAATATTATTGAACATTTATGGGCATGTTTGGAGTCCAGACTTCGCTTCCGATTTCCGCCTCCATCCGGACTTTCGGACTTAGGGACGGCTATGCAGGACGAACGGCTTAATAATCCTTTAAATATTTTCCATGGCCTTAATGCACCTATTCCACGTCGCATTCAATCTGTACTTCAGTCAAAGGGTGGTTCAACCCCCTTCATTATTTCACAGGTGTTCGTATTATTTTGTCCTCCATCTGTAGCTCGTAACAACAGGTAGCCCGTTTTACCCATTGCATTTAATTTTGATTAATGTGATAATTGTAGAGATTTTAGAGAACATGGTGAGTTACTAGAATTACCGTCGCTTCTTACTTTCTGTCGGAAGTTTCTGGATTTTGTTGATATCTACAGTTTTTATCTTATGTTAGAGTGCTCCTAGAAATTAAATCATAACAATTTACATCAATATGGCATTTAAAAACGTAAACTCACTAAACTCACCTGTTTAACTTTGGATCCAATAACAGGCTGGAATTCTGCATGTAAATGTTCCTCCATCGTAAGAGCTTCGTTACTAATATCATCTGCTGCTGATATAAATGGATGTAAGAGAAGTTCCAAAATACATGGCCGATGTTCAGCGTTTCTTTCTAAGCATCTAAACAAAAATGAAATCATTTAAGAATAAATCTATGGTTAATGTATCAAAACACTTTTATAAAATTTTTTATAAAATTTGTTATATAGTTTTAAGATGAAAGTTCTGTCTTTGGGCTATTGACAAGTTATTCGAATACTGTGGCAGTACATATTTTCCAAAATATGAATCTTACACACATATATCCATCCATTAAGTTTCTTGAAATAAAGTAAATATTTTAATGAAAATAGTTTTACGCTGTGGGTGGAAATGCTGTGTACAACTATTGTTACGAATTTAGTATAATGTAACATTATCGGCTTCAAGGAAAGCCAAGCTTTGCTTAAAATATAAGATTACAGGGTCAAATATTTTTAACATTGAGGTAAATAGCTATCTCGCTTAAATGGCGAGATATTGTCAAGCTGGCTATAGTTTTGGCGACTAATTTTTGTCTTTAAATTTGGCAAGAAATCGCCCAAAGTCCCCAAACTTGGCGACCGTTTGGAGACCTTTTTGTTCGGTCTTTGTATAACTTTAAACGATATTGTAACTGTATAACTGTTATTGATTCCTATATGTAGCTCTAACCGTATCCGGTCCTAATGTGTAACTTTAACAGTATATGCCTTCCAAAAGTTTCGAGAAATGGAAAGTACAAAAGATTTCTTTTGGCTGAGGGGGGGAACTATATAAGAGAGTATCAGTTATCATTTTTTTTTTAGTTCAGAGTGGATTCCGGAATATTGAGAGATCTCCGTGCCAGCTTCGCTCTTTAGATGCGCTTCGCATTGCGCTGTGTTTAGCGTTCTTAGTAGTCTATAATAGTAACTACTGATTGTGCTTTGTTATACTGAGAAGTGTTTTTCCAGTACTTTTGTGGAAAATTTCAGAACTGTAAAGCTTTACTTTTGGGATAATCACTTCTATCAAAACATTATCGGTTGTGTGTGCATTCAACCCATTACGAACCCATACGCATGCAATAGTATGAAAAACATTTCACATAGCCTCTGTTAAGCGAAATTTCAATTAGTAATACATACATTCTGCTTTTATTTGTTAAGAAAAGAGCTTACATATTTAGTGCAAATTTCATTCATATATACTAAACAAAACTTGTCAAGTGGCCAGCTGTAAATTTAATAAAGAATGTTATTTTGCCTAATACGGAAATTTTAATCCTGAAAACGACAAGCATTTATAACTGCTTCATAAACTTGTTCTCAAAAGTCTTGAATTTCACAGTCACAAGCATGGAACAGTAAACTAAATCATTAAAATATTTCTTAATATCTGGAGCTAAAGGTATGCATATTACTTTTAACTCATTAAATCGCAAAATAAGTTTTATTAATTGGAACTTCAACTCTACTTTGATTATGCGAAAAACTCTAGAAAACTCTATTATGATATTAGTTATCTCAATAAACTCTATTATCTATTAAACTCTATTATAAGGATCCATCCACATAGCTAAAATTGCTGGATAAAATTTTGTGCTTTATTTAAAAAAAATGTTGTATCCCTAAGTGTATAGACTAGGATCGATATTTAAGGAGGTAAAATCTAGAGCAACATTTTTAAAACTCTGAAAATACACCCGCTCACCAAAATCCGTACATAGGAAAAGAGAGAAAGGGAAGCCAAAATATCAGAGATGTAAAAAAATTTAATTTCGAATAAAAGTTTTTTCGACAACGAAATATGAAACTCAATAAAAACGTTCCATTGAAAATACTTTTTATAAACATATACTTTAAGATCAAAATTAAATTACAATGTTAAATTTTAATAGGAAACTGTGATCTATGAAATAAGTAATTAACAGTGTTTAAATAGATGTTATAATTATTAGCTGAAAAGGGACTATTGGTCTCAAAATGGTATTTTGCGTTGAATCACTATAAATGCGTCATTTCACTTTTCCTTCAAATCTTTTGCCATTCGGGAAAATGAAAGATATTTATATTTAAAACTGAATCTTTCTTTTGCGGATTAACAAACTAAGTTATTTCAAATCAATAGATGCAGTTCTTAAGAATATTTGTTCCTTGTTTTTGAATTGGATTGATTTAAATGATAAAAATGCATTTAATTCAAAATTTATCTAATTGGAAATACTCAATGTTTTCACACAATAATGTTATATATTTTTTTATAATCTATTGCATATTTTGTAAAATCTTAATGAAAATTTGATTAAAAACTCAATGAAAAAGATTTGAAAGCAAGCAATGGCAACATTGTACAGAATAATATATTTTTATTTCCAGTGTGCGTGATGTCTGTAAGAAAATCTAAAGATATGCTGATTTTAAATGTGTTGTGATTTTGCTGTTGAATTGTATGAGGCGTATGTGCAAAGAACGTATTGTTTAATAAATAAAGTTAACATACAAAAAATTGTTTTGCAAGCCATCCGATTAATAAAACTGAACATTGATGTGACGAACTCCAAAAAGATTGTAAAAAATAGAAAAATGTATGCGAACATTAGACATTGCGTCGTTAATTCTAAACATATACTACTTTAAAATTTCTGAAAGAAAATGATACTGAATAATAAAGCTGAAAAGAGAAAAAAAAAGGGTTAGTAGGAGTGAGTTCAATAGCAGACTAGTAGACTGCGAACTCAGAGAGAGCGTAAAAAACATTAACAAACCCTTTTGGTCGACCGTTTTTCCACTGAAATTGAAACTTGTGTTTTTCAGTTTTTTCCTTGTTTAATTTGTCATTTCAGTCTTTATTTACTGCAGGTGCATATGTTTTTATTCCTAATTTTTATTCAAGCAAAAGTGCACTTATTATATAACATAGACAAAACAATTTACATATCTATCTATTTAATATAATAATTTCAGACAATCCTTTCTAATGACAATTTTAAATTATTTTGATCAATGATTTTGATTATTGAATGACCAATTTTTAATAAATATTCAAAGATTTCCCAAGATTTTGGACGCTGGAGTTCAGATTAGAATTTCAACGTACGTTGAGTATATTAATTTTAAGTATGTTAATAGATAAAAGATGTTAATTCATTTTGAGTTGAACATTAGAAGGCTTTGAAGACGTTTATGCAATGAAGATGGTTGTTACATACTATTATACTGATTATATTTCCTCATTAAAGAAGTTATAAATTTGAACGGAAAATAACGCCCCATTGATATGATTTAGTGCACGTCAAATCTTGAGAGAAGGAGAGAGAATTGCATCTTTGGTTTTGTTACAATAAAATCTTAAACTAATATTAGTTGTGGCGTTTTTGAGGAACCACGTAAAGCAGATGTTATTTGGATATGCTCTTGTTGCATGAATGGTACGAAACTATGGCATGTATAATTTAATTTTTTTCTAAGAATTTCTATAATTCTTATATAGTATAATATAACCTTATATCCTTACAATTTTAATAATTCTGCTCATGAATACCCTTAGTTTCTGCTTGAATTATGTAGATGGAGGTTCGCTGATCTATTAATTATAATTTATTTAATATTTCAAGGAGGAATAAAAGCTTATGTCAATAAAACTGTTGTTTTACTAAATCTGAGTGTGAGGTGAAAAGAAATCATGAGTAAAATTACTGCTAGAAAAGCTTCATTTAAGCAGCTCGGTGAAACACGTGAAAGTCGAATTCAGATACATACCAAATTTATTTGAAAATTTGTGTTTCCTTTAGTAAGCGTTCCAGTTGCAATAAACTCTAGTTGTGCGGAAAGGATGAAAATGATAAAGCCAATCTGCTAAGCAAAATATTAAATATCTGTATCTCAAAATATTACAGCAGCAAATGATGCAAAAATGTTCTGAAATACTACTTTTTGCACAAAGACATTATTTCTGTTTCTTAGCATCTTATTCAGTTGTATCAAATTGGGGCGGGTACGCGAAATGTGACTTCAGTAGCCACACAGATTACTGCATACTTTATCTCTTCCAAGTAAATTACATTTGTTGAAAAAGTTTTGTGGAAAAAAGATGGAGAAATTGAAGCTAATAACACGGATCTGTTCTTAGCCAGGACGTGATATTTTTCTAAACTAATACGTGATGAGGATCTTAAATGCACTTACTCACTGATAAAGTCTTTGAACTCTTCACTCCATTCCGCAAGTTTCTTTAGAGTTGGAGGCGGGTTGCTAAAGAAGAAAATACGTTCACCATTTATTTTCCGTTTTTATAGATATCATCAACAGGTATATAAGAGATAAGATGTTCATTTCAAAATCTTTATGATGTTAAATGTAACAAGACTCCAAGTCTTTAAGAAGATCAGTTCATATAAATTTTAGTTGTAGTTATTATATCGTTTAAAAATTATTCGCCGATTATTATGTTTTTAATATTAATATTATTCTCCATAAATAACTAATATTACCTGCCCAGAAAAAGAAAATAAACAAGGAGATGTTTATGCTTCAAACTTGATGCTCTTCTGTGAGCATCCAAGATAACAGAAAAGATTAATATAAAATCATCACTAAATATAAATGGAAATACGAATGTTTAACAATGAGAAAGACCTTACTGTTTCTTTTAACTAGATCTAAGTATTACTGTAAAAGGCTTTACAGAATAAAATGAATAAAAATGTTATCTTGTAATGCAGAGAAATAAAAATAATAATAATAATAATAATAAAAAAACAATAATTACAAAAGGCAGCTCAGCATTCTAATTAAACCTCCAAATTATGATTCAAGAATTTAATGTTATACTTTAAAACTTTTTTTTATGTTTTTCTTTCATAAAATAGACCATAACTGTATTTTTTGGGTTTATAAATACTCTTGTATATTTCTTAAGCAGGTTTAAGAACAAGAGGCACCAAATTCAATTTTAAAAATCTCTATTTACGAAAACTATCGGCCATCCAAACACAGATTTCACGAATTAAAATCAGAATATGACTATTAAGAAAATGAAGACATGTAATATGATGGAATTAATTATGAAGAACTACCGCTGGTCAGTTATTGCTATCAGAGAAACAAAAAATATTGCTTTGCCATGCCCCTAATAAAGAACGAATGTGTTCAAAATCTTTGGAAGAAGTTGTAAACATTTTTAAAAATGGGAAGACGCAGAATAAACAATTGTTTCAAAAGAATATATGAATTATGCTACCCATGTGAACAACACGAATATCAAGGTAACGAAAGATATATAACTATTTGATGGAATCTCGAAAAAGAAGAATAAGCAGGAAGGCACAGTGGATGGTTATTCCCAAATAAAAAATGAACAATCAGTTGTGGATACTGAAGAATTAAATTACTTCTCCATTTTGGAATGGACGGAAAAGATGATCTAAGAAAGCAGAAAATCCCAGTAATACACGTATTACAGGAACTAGTGAAATACAAAATGATAAAAAAAACTCTCCAATGATTATTTATGACATCAATAGCAAATAGCTCAAAGCTAGTTTAAAATATGACAATATCTGAATCTCACAAGGTAACAAAATTTATCCGTGAAACCGATGCCTTGCATCTGCTTCATAGATTATATTTACTTATTAAAATTTGAATATTCAATTTGTGAGATTCTGAAAACTTTGCCTTAGAATACAGTTTAAAAAGATAAATCAAAGGAAATCGTTAACCAGCAGATACCAAGCGTGAAGGCATTACGTTGCAAGCAACCCAAGAAACATTAAAATTTCTTGTTTTTGCTTTGGTTCTTGATACATTCTTTAAGTGAAAGCGGAAAGAAAAGATTATTGGTATGATTCAGTTCCGGAATGTTTTAATTACAAATCTCCACTGTGTTGTCACTCCTTGTATTGATCTAGGATGAGGTGATTAACATATCCTCAAACGAAAAATAGTTTTCGTTGAATATCTGCCGAAAATAATCTACCTATATAAATATAATTAATTTTTTTGTTTTTATTTAGAAAATACAATACTATGTTTCCCATTTTGACCTTCGCAGGGATGTAACATCTGCCGTTTAATTTCTAGATTTGAAAACAATTAGATTTAAATTATTAGACTAAAACTGGGTTTAAATGAAAATATATGAATTGTATTTAAACTCATAATAATTAATCTAATAGCTTTAATTAAGACACAATAAACGCCGAACAAATACTTATTCAGAAGTCAAACAACAAAAATCAGCGTTATATTTTCAAATTTTCACAAGACTAGTTTCGATGGTTTTACCGAACCACCATCGTCAGCTGCAAAAGCGCAAAATGCAGCTTTTTGCAGCTGACGATGGTGGTTCGGTAAAACCATCGAAACTAGTCTTGTGAAAATTTGAAAATATAACGCTGATTTTTGTTGTTTGACTTCTGAATTACTAATAGCTTTAGTTGAATTGCATGAATTAGACTGCTCTTATGTGGCATGAATTATGCGTGATTTCAAGCTTAGGAGAAAAACGTCTTTGACAGTTTTTTGCATGTTATACTGACTCCGTCTAAATATCGACATGTAAACCTCTGCAATTTTGCTTCTTTACCGTGCCTTTTTTATTTGGTAAAAATGGTCTTAAATAAAAATCGTAATTGAACTTAGCTTCTTAATTCTAAAATTCTTTTCTACAAAGTATCGAAGCACTCCAGCAGTTAGTTTTTATTACTGAAAAATATATTTCTAAATAAATACTTACATTAAAGGAAAGATATAATGAAATTTAGGACCTCAAACATGACGTTGGTTCGAAAGTGTGAGTTTGAAGGAAAATTTGTTTACATTCAAGTGTGATTTTCAAAGCTTGAAAAATGAACATAGCGCTACTTTTCAGGTTTATGTTTTACATGCATCAACTCGTTTGCGGTAGAGGCAAGGTTATACGTTATTCTTTACTTGTAGCTATATCCGTTTCCGACCACAAAGTCCTCTTTATCGGAAAAGCAATTTGGCATCTTCAATGCATTGAACACGTCTCGGCAATCGAGAAGGTCAAAACTACTTAGACAGCTGTCGAAAAGAAGAAATAAAAAATTGAAACGTTGTGTAATCTTGCATCAGTGTACGAGATCTTTTATTGATTTTGGTTTTAGACAACTCCGTTAAAAGGGAACGGAGTGAAAACAAATCTACAGTTAGAAATGTTACGAAGTAGTTGTTAACCTAAGATATAAGTAAAGGTACTTGGAATGTAGAAGTGATGTTTACACGATTAGAAATGTTTCTGTTCGAGAGACGATCGATTTAAAGTGAAAGTTTTCAGCTGGAATGAATTAGAACTCAGCTGAAATCGAACGCTGTCATTTTGTCAAACCACCTTTATCTGGTAGTATGAATTTAAAACATTGAGTAAAATAATAAACTGATAGCACGGTATCTTCCTGTAATCTAAAATCTTATTATAATCAATATAATTTTCTTACGGAAAATATGTAGGATTAAGGATAACGTCGATTTAATGATTTCGTGGCTAACGCCATTCTTTCAAAAATAAACTATCAATTAAATTTCAGGACTATGATGTGCAAAACATGCATCATCATAAGAAGCTGCTGAGAGGTAAAATCGTTGAATGCTGGTAATTCTACCCAAATTTAAATCCCAGCAAGCGGGCTTGCTGTATAGAACGTTTCGTGCTTTTCATTAAGTGTAACCTGAATATGATCCAATTTCCCTTGAAACGTCTTCCGCGAAGACATCTTCATAGCTCTTGTATGCTTTTCCTTACTCAAAATAGACTAACTTACAGGAAGATTAAATCCTATTTATAGTTATTATGTTTCCAGTTTGGTAATATGCTCTTGAAAGCAGAATAAAATGCAAAAATTTAACTGTAGTCATCTTTAGCAGGTTTATGAAAGCTTTCGTTAATAAAAGTGCGTTTTTTTCTTTATGTTGGAAAAGAAGACAGACTTTGGAAACTGCACAAACGTAAGTCTATGAAACATATCTTATTTAGGAAACATATCAAATACTTAGTTTTATTTCCAGAAACACTATATAGTTTTTGTTGTTGGGAAAAAGGTTGTTTATTGAGCTTCTATTCAAATAATATAATAGGCGAATTTCGGAACATTAATAAAAAAGAATAACTATAACAAAACCCACAATAAGTTTTTTTTTGTGGTATGAATTTTTTTGGCTCAAAATGTTATTTCTGAAGTGTAGATTTACACTGAGGTGCTTAAGAGTTGATAAGTGAAATTTATGGGAGTGAAGTGTAATTTATTCTAAATAACCCAGATATTTTCCAAAGTAAGAAATGCTACTAAAAACGAAGGTCAAACAGTAAGTCTTTTTATATTCTTTGTCGATAGTTTACATCATGAATTAGGCCTAAAAGTGTTGTTGAATTTAATTAAAACAAGAGTATAATGATGATTTACTAATAATTTATTTCACTAATACTTTACCGTAATACTTTAATGATTACTTTAATTTACTAATTATTTAATATAGTTAATTTAAAAGTAAAATTAAATAACGAATCAAATAATTTAGTTTACTTTTTTCCAGTTAATATTATTTAAACAGACAAACTAATAATACTGATTAATTAGCTATCCTTCCGTTAGAAATAAATATTTGCACTTGTACTAATGGTGATATTCAGATGAAACACAATTAATTAACTCTCTTCATATAAAACACATGAAAACAGTTAAGCCTATGTATGACACAAATTAGTAACTATATACACTTATATAAAATATTATGTTCAGATAAAATATCAAAAAGTTGAATAGAATCCTAAGCATAATTCTGAATGAAAATTTAATTTTGCGTTATCGAAAAGACAAGAAATGATTCTGATGCCTTTAGAATGTCAGGTAGCAGTGAGCCCTTATTGTGATTCTAATGCCATTATTATAATATGCCGTTATTATGATGCCGTTATATGATTACACAGTATGACGTCCGTACCTACTAGTGAAGCCGATGGAAATTACAGTTAATGAGTGTACTGTTTAATATTATGTGCAAACCGTTTCTTTCTCAAGTATTGTTTGATCATGTGAGTTTATAGCTAGTCTGTATTTCCTCCAGGGGCTCACGTGCAGTATTTTGTATCTTTATGATGCTATGATTACTTTAGTTCCATCAGAAAAGATAAGAAATTGATTTTGTAACGTTCCTTCTATTTCCTGTAATGATTTCATGACACTCCTCCTATTTCAGAAGTTCAGACTTTTGTATTGCTCTTGTAGCAAAAATTTTTACCTTATGAACATATTAAATAGCAGAAGGTAGATCTATCTCTTACAAGAAATTTATTTAAACGGATTTAATTTACAGCTGCAAGACAAATAGCAATATTTAACGACATTAAGTATTACAATGACAGAAGATAAATAATAGTTCGTTAATGCGAAACATTAAATGAGCCGTGTTATTTCACAATATGAGCATCACATCAATAGGACACTTTGAGAACAGAGGAAATTTTGATAGTCACTATGTCACAGACCATGTGATTACAGCGTTTGATCACTTACCGAGCTATCTGGAACATTGCCCGAACAGGGTGGATGTCAAATAAAGGAGGTTGAGTCTCTGCCAATTCGATGGCTGTGATTCCAAGAGACCATACATCGCAAGACTTGGTATAAGGCATTAGTTGCTCGCAGTTAATAACCTGAAATATATATCATAATTTAGTGAAGTAGAATATTAGTTTTAAATTAAAATGCAATATAAGATCGCAATATAAGCAAGAAAATACAAGAAATACTGCCATGTCAAGTTTACATTGACATCATAATATGTAACTACGAAATTCCAGTTTTGGCTTAGATTTAGAGGAATTCTTTAAATACAGGAAACCAAAATACAATTATTAATTACAAATAGGTTCATATATTGTCCTAATAGCTACACGAAATTCGCAAGGCATAAAACACACTTTAACTCTTTTTAGTGAAGCTCGGACGCACAACAAAATTTGATTTCGTTTAAATCTTTGCTGGTATGTTCATGTTTTATAGACTTCAGATCCTTCTATAAGAAAATAAATACTTTCTTTTATAATAATAGGAAATAGTACAATATACATCCAATTAAAAAAATTTGTGGATGCACTAGAAATTTGAACTTTTAAATTAAAATTTTCCTTAGATATATTTCCTTTCTTAGTTTATTTCTATATTTTTTTTAGAGTTCGAGATTTTAAGTGAATTTTTGTAGTTGTACGAAATAAATATTTAGACTAAAAAATTTAAGTGTATGCAGAATTTTCTTTATAGTATGTTGTAAAGATTATGTTAATTTTATTAACAGTTAAATTTGGAGTTAAACATCCTTTCCTATCGATTCTTAATTCCAACTCACCACTTCCGACCAGAACGTAGTTTTAGAATCACGTCTGAATGCTAATGAGGAAGAGCGGTATGTAACCGCGAAGTTCTTCTGTCTTAGTGAGAGAGATACAAGGTATTTTGGCTGCACGCGTCCGTCCGCCTTTTTAGGCTACTCTCTCGTAAGCTATTATTACGCTCGGCCGTACTTTAGGCCCCTGATAGCTTCGCAGTCAATTAGCGTTAAGGGGCCACTCTGTTAGAATTTCAATAGCTTCGGCTATATCTCTTTAGATAAGATTAGTTTAGTTTAATTCTTAGTTTCTTAAGTTCAAGTCCAAGTGTCGGCTTTATTGTACAACTCCAATACGGAGTTTTGTTGAATTTTAATTTGGAATAATAAAGGGTTATTTCACCCTTCTTACTTGTTGTTTCCTGTACACGAATTCAAGCAATTATTCGCTTACTAGTTCTTAAGATGCTTCACTTTCAACTGTAACTTAGAATTACACAGTGGACAATCCTACAATGTATTTAAATCTCAATAGAACAACTAAATAAGTAATTATATATTCTAATAATGCTAAAATACTTCAAACTGTGATACGAAGATACTTTCTGAAACATAAAAATATTATATTAAGATGAATTTTAACTCATATTTTAAAATAAATTTTTTATTTCAAACCCAATTTTATGGATTCTGGAAATATTACTCAAAATTTTGAAAGCGCATTATGTATTGAAACTTCTAAGTGTTTTTAAGATTTTTTTCACTCTCAGTTTTAAAACCATATTTATGTGCTTTTTACTTTTATAGTCTTTTTATGTAATAAATACACTATTTCATACTCCTTCAGGATGAATCGATTCATGATGTTAGTTTTTCATTTCATGTAAGCTTAACAGCTCTATAAAATATGCGAATAGAATTCTAAATTGAGTAGATGTGTAATTTACATCGTTTCTAAGCTACTTACCTATTTGCGTTTAGCGAACGTATGAAATATCTCCATTCTTTCTAAGATAAAAATTAAGCTGTATATTTATAAAGCTATAAATATTTTAAATTCGACAAATTTTCTGAATAAATGTATTTATGTTGAACATGATAAACAACTATAAGTACTGAAATTTGCTGGGAAAGAAAGGATGGGGAAGAAAAGAAAACTGCGTAACTCAGTAAATGTAATGGCCTATCCAAACTAACACCACTTGCATAATAAAACTGGCGAGAATAAAATTAGCAATTTGTGTGATCTCCTCCATTGATATAACTTCATAAATGCTCTTCAGCATTAATTTAAACAAATATATAAAAGTACCACAAAACATATTCTTCCATGCTTCAGTAGTCGTAATTTACATCAGTAAAATCATCGAAAATTGTTGTCTATCTTAATAAAAGGTTCTAGCTAGTGTAAACCTTAGATTACTTTGAAAGCTTTAGGGTTAGGTCAAAGAAGCGAGGATAACTTCGCTTTGTTGCTGATGCAACATTTTTGCACAGTTTGAAGAGAAAATGGATGCATTATCACGCTGAAATATACATTTTTCTCAGAGAAAAGTTTTCAGGAAAGTTTTTAAAGTATAAACATTTTATTTTAGCAACTCCATAAGCATGTGAATTAAATTCTTAAAACAAATGAACTGAAACTGATATCAGTTTTCACTTGAACAGAAAACCTGCCATAAATGAACATTGCTCATTTCACTGTTCATAATGCTAATGCAAATATTCTTCTCATCAGTTTCACAAATGCTTTATGTTTAAATTGCTATTAATGTTAACAGAAAGGATTTTTATAGCATGTCATTAAGCCGGTTTTTACCTCTAAATTTGAGACCCTGTTCCGGATAGAAAGCTCACATATACTATGATTGGTTTTTTTTCAGATACAAACGGTAACTTTCCTTAGCGCCCTCTGCAGCAGCTGCAAAAAAAGAACGTCCTATATTTATCGCAATATTAGCAACGGAAGATACAAATGGCTTAAAATCTCAAAGTTCATTTTCTCGCAGCTCCGTTTCACATAACTGTATTTATCGAAAATCTTTCTACTAGAATTTCATTCCATTTATTTAATGCGGTAATCATGCCACGCAGAAGTTGATGCGAATGAGCTAAGTTTAAACTAATTTGCATTAGTTAAATTAAAATTTTAAGCTATCAAACAAACAAAAGAATATGCTGTATATGTTTTATTATCCATGTATATTTAAAAAAAAAATTTAAAGTTATTCAGAAAAGTGCTCTAGGAATTTCTTGAAATTGCATAAGCAGAACGAAAGGGAACAAGGTAATATGTATTATTTTGAACACTAAAATAATATTTTGTTTCAAATATCTCCTTAAAATGTTTTGGGTATTATATAACTAAGCCCGCACTGCATCAATGCATACAAAAGTCTTCGGTTACTAATAATTCATTAAAATTCAAAAATTAATTAAAAAACATTAAATTCTTTTTGGATTCATTAATAGCTAACTGTATGACTTCTATGGGAAATTACATTGCTGGCTATTAAAATTGCTATACCATTAAGGCGGCATTCGACAAGCGACACATATGCATGAAAGATGCAATATCCACGGATATGCAAATGATTAGCATTCCAGCATATGCCCTCAAAGCACGTATGAGTAACGCCATCTATATTGTGTATGCGGAAGAGTGCACAGTGGGTTTCTCATTTGAAAATCGCATTTAAACGTTGGTCGTTTGTTTAAAGGTCGTGTTATGCCTCATGTAAGAGAGAGAAACTCCTACTAGCATATGTCGGAAGTCCACCGCGACCTCTCTGAATTTCGGTTTACTGTTCCGCGACACTGCTGCTCATGATAGCTGGGATTCCATGACAATCAAGCGAATATGGAATCGACGGGTCCAGAACGGTCATACGGAACGCTAGAATCTTAGTGGTCCCGGGCCATTAATTCCCTAGAGGACAGACATATTGTTCCTTTTGACTTTGTTGTATCGTATCCTGAATGCAGAACTTGGCTCGTGTGCATTACCAAAGAACTTTTAGAAGATCAGTTCTCATAGAGGTTCTTTGACAGGACAACAAGTGACTGCAGGAAGAGTGCTACGTCATCTGCAACACTACGGACTGTCAGCACGGCTACCATTCTTACGGCTTTCATTGACACTGCAATAGGAACAGGAACACTTACAGCGATGCAGCGGACGACGATACTGTACACAAAAATAGTACAACGCGTATTTTCGGACAAATCCCAGTTCTGTATATAGTATCATGATGGATATGTGTGAAGGCACTAAGAAGCCATCTGCCAGCTTGCAATCGTCATCGCCATACGGACCCAGTACCTGCCGTGCTGGTATGAAGCACAGTTGGGTAAATATCCCGGGCACATCTTGTTCGCATAGCCGGTAATGTGGAGAAAATCCGTCACAATTCTGTCTTGTGTTAACTTGGCAGTAGTTGTATCTTGTCCCGGAGGCCTCAGTGAGTTATTATTCAACAACATTAAATGCATGTTGTATGCTGCTCATGCTGTCCTGATTTTGTGGTTACAGAGAGTGTTCAATTGTTGTCTTGGCTAGCACGTTGTCCAGATTTCTCATTCACTGAGAATATGTGGTCATGGGTATGCCACCACTCGCCAGCCACTATAACAGACGAACTCGTTCGTAGAGTTGAAGCCAAAGGGAGGGAAATATTCGTATAACGGTTATTGAAGCTCAGTAAAGCTAGACGTCCAGCTGGATTACAGTCGTTGTTGCTGCCAGAGGTGGCAGCTCTGCGTACTAAATTCTGCATGCTGCATATCCCAAACTACCTGCAATTTTAATACTCTTTCTGTCCCATTATAGAGTATATTACAATGAATAAGATTCTTTTAGTTGCTTTTCTTTCTGGTGAAGCAATTTTAATGCCCAGCAGTGTATTTTATTCATTTATGTTTTAACTTTCCTTCAAATCTGAAGATTAAATTTTTTGCTTGCAACTACATCAGTGTAAGGAAGCTTGCTGAAGCAAGTAGAAAATACTTCTACAAAAGGTTTCATTTATTTCTCTTTCTCTGCATCTCGCATACAGTTTGCCTTAGTCTAAGAAATATAATTTTAAATCGTCTTTTATTTAAAAAATTTACAATAGTAGTCTAGTTTGCATGTTTAGATAAGAAATATTTACATTTCTTTCAACAGCTAAATGAAGGATTGATTCTCAAGAATAAAGTAAAACAATCTCAGCAACGGTAAAATCGTGAGAAAATTGAAACAATCGTATTTTGTAACTTTTCGTTAATCTGAAAGAAACATGTTGTGTATCTATGTCGATATTTTATGAGCTTTATATAAATAACAATGAACTTGTATTCAAAAATATAGTTTAGCGTCTCTATACTCTTCACTTACTATAATCCCTTTCTCAGATCCTCTTCTAAAGATTTACATTTTTCACTTATTTTATTAATTCTGAAAGCACGTTCGTTAGTCAAATATTTCCAGACGTTTAAAATCTGACGTTTAAAATTTCTATTACCTGTGAATGTCAGCTAGTTTCAAAACGGAATTAAATTTATTATTAAACGTTAGCAGAGAGGATTATATAGTCACGGAAGGGGAAAAATTATCATAAAGACAATTTTCACGTAAAACTAAATTATTAATTACTTTTAGAATATTATATTGAGGCTATTGCTATCTTTTATCTTTATTATGCAGAGCATGTCAATCTGAATTACGAACTCTCCCAAACTAAGGATAAAATTAAAAATTTTTTAATTGAGCATACATGAAATTCTTGCTTATTACATTCAGGGAAAGCCCTTTTAATCGAACACAGCAATTAAACAACTGCTGCGTTTCTTAGACACCGCTTCGAAATTGTGTGTGTGTGTGTTTTTTCAGCTATTTCAAAATGATATACTTTGACATGAGTTTTAAACATAAAAAATACAAGAAATTGCTCGAAACCTAATCAGGCCAATACGATAGACGGAGAAGCACTGCGATATTTTTTGAGCTGAAAAGTAGCTTACTAATAATAATATATTATACGGCGCAATACAGAGTGAAGGAAACACGTGTTTGAGATTTCACGACTGAAATTCACAACTCTTTTTAATATTTTTTTCGACTCAAAATCTTGAGTACCTATAAGCCATTGATAAAAGGATCAAAGGTTTATAGGCATAAGACCTTTGATGCAGATAACTTATACCATCAAAAGCTTATAGGCTCTTCTGTGATAGTAGATAATATATGCGACCACGCTAGTTTCCGGTTTTGAAGTTAAAAGAAGTTCTTCGTTCTCAACGCTACCCATTACGGTAATGAGCTCAGCGTATTATCTACAAATTCGGACCGAAAACAACATTTCAGAACTACATTTTCTAACTTTCATGCAAAACTTTATGAAGTAACTCTTTTCGACTCTTTTCTTCTTTTTTTTTCTAATACACCTTTGCTTGGTTCGTAACAAGGCAGAAAAACTATTGCCCGCTTTGCGAATGTATAGACAGACTGCTACTAAAATGTGGACTCAAACGAGAAACGTCAAATTGTACGTGCGGGTTCCCACTTTACCTGCTTCGATCACTGTTGTCTTTATTTTGTTCGTCTGCTCCTCATCCCTTCCTCCAAAATCGGCCCACCAGCGGCGGTGCGGTAAAATCGCTAAACACTGGTATTTAGGTCCGGGATTCGAATTCCGGAGAACGGGCTGGCTGCATGAGCGATTTCATGGTTTTCCCCATATGTAACGTGTATGCAAGACAATTCCTCTTAGAAAGTCCTCCACGAAGGCATCCCTACCCTTAGGCAGATAGCCCTCGAGTGCCTTGATATAATAAATTAAACTAAACCAAAACTTACCTTCTCCATAACTCGCTTTACTTCTGGGGAAGATCATTAATTGTGCAGTAGAACTCTAATTATTCGGATTCCATTCATCGGAACTTATATTCGGTTGGTTTATTTTTCTTTCTAGGCTCAGTAAAATTAAACATATTTTTAAATTATTTAAACGTTTATGTTTTTTATTATTCATTTAAATAAAGAGTTAATACAATAAAAAAAAATATTTTTCAAGAAGATTTTTCAGTGTATCAGGCGGATTTGTAAGACATGTGGATTGGCTTAAGATGTTCAGCAATTATATAGCCTATAACTATCTTCCTCCACCTATGTCTATCTATGGTTGTTTCTCCCTCCACCTATGTCCACAAGAAGGGTATCTTAAATATCGTATGCGTAGCTTCACATCGGCTGCTAGTTCCCTGCTGTCAGTTTCTGAATCGTTCCAAATTATTATCGAATTCAAATACTTGAGTGGATTGAATGGAAAATGAGGCAAAATAAAGAACAAAATCAAACTATAGCAGTTAATGAACTTAACTTCAGAGATCAAATAAATATTATGATGGATTATATTCAGATTTATGATTAAATTACATTTCGTGTTTTTTGTGAATGCAGTAAAAAAGTTTTTTTAAACTAATTTAGTTTAAAATGTTAATAAACTATATAAAATCTTTGATCAAAAGCATCAGCCCGTTTAAAGCCCGTTAAAATTAAGTCCGTTTAAAGCAGCACTTTGCAATATGAGTGAGGAAAAATTGAAAATTCATATTAAATAGAATTATTAACTACGTTTATGAAGAAATGATTATTGAAAAAAGTAAAATAAATACTGAAAATATTACCTCTGGAGCCATCCAATAAGGGGTTCCGATGGATGAATGAGTTTTTCCTTCCGTTTCTTTAACTAAAGCACAAGAACCTGTAAAATATTCACTTGTCATCAATTCAATAAAACATGCCTATAATCGTTATTTTTTCCAAATACGAACAAAGAAGTTACAAAGAAGTGCTTAAATTTGCATAATTAATCAATGAAAACATTTTAATACCCTAAAATTCAGTCTGTCATACTCTCAACCCATACGAGGCTTTTATGAGAATTTAAATACACGTCAAATTCGTGCGTTTTGCCATCTTTGGTGAAGCAACGAAGAGATTATTTTAAATAGGAAAATATCACTATTTTTGTTAGAAATTTTACTGAGCTGTTACAGTGAAACATCGCTTAACAGAAATACTGCTTTGAAAAGCAATAAATTAAATAGAAATCGTGGGATAAAAAAACTAGTTGATTAAAAGTGTTACTCAGTTCTAGGATTTTTAATGCATTCTTTTACCTTTCTGATTATTCTAAAGCAAATATATTGTTACGAAATGCCTAGCTGCGGCCAGATAACTTTCCCTCCAAGCGGGTTTAGGGTTGCCAGAAAGATGAATAGAAAGACCGGATTGCCAGATTTGGCACACAATCGCCATTTGGCGATATTTTGTGACAAAATTGTCGATATGCAGACGGAGCAAGAACATTCTAGAACGAATTCTGACCAGTTTTCCCCAGAATGTTCTCGAAGACCGCTCAGAAGCTATAGATTTAAAGCAGTTTATCGTGAGTAGTATCTAGAGTACAAAAAGTACACTGCTCAAAAAAAAAAAAAAAAAAAAAAAGGACAGTTCTATATCTCCCGTTCTACTGGGCCGAATGACAAAATTCAAATTGCGTTCTTCATGTCTCGAAAGTGCGACTTAGGATATGTATTACATTTATATATAGCACTATTCTAACATAGGTATTTTGACACAAAATCGGACTTTTTCTGAAATAACATACCACTTTTTTTACATATTTCGATTCTACGACTCAAATTATGCCAGAGTGCCAAGTTTTGTAAAAATCGTACGAGTAGTTTTTAAATAATTATTTCTCGAAATTTTAGCTCCTCAATGTTAATTGAATTTGGCATATATTTATTAATATCTCTTTTTTTAATTTCGAAATTTATTTTCATTCCAAAACAAATTCACTCATTTTTTTGTGTTTTATTTTAAAAATTTCTATTTTTAAATAATTTTTAGATATTTTCGAAAAAAGTTTTGTATTATAACCTATAAAAGTTTTACCATCATCTTAAAGTAGGTGCAGTTCTAAGCATACCTGCAAAAAATTAGAATTTTTTATTCAAAATTTTCTAAGATATACACGAATTTACATATTTTTGCGCTTTAAAATTTGGCATCTTTTTTTTGAGCGATAATAACGCCAAATGTGGTTTATGGATTTTGTTACAGTGAATTGCCACAGCTATTTTTAACCTTAAATTTCAAATAAATTTTTAAAAAGGATTAATTATATGAATTTTCCCCCCTCAATGATGCGTAATAAATATTTATTAATACTATATGAAAAGCTACTTTTTTAAAATTACAGATGATATTGTTAAATAGCTACTGCACCAATGTTATGTTTCTATAAGAGAAACCTATGTTTTGTTTCTTTACTTTGCCGAAAAATCATGGGCACCAATGCTGTGTTACAACTTCCTCTTAGGTAGGAAGCTAATGCAGAAACAGACAAGTGAAACCGCAACTAACTATATATCAACTGAGAAATTAAACACTTAAGAGTTTGCTAATTACCAAACTTTTAGTGATCGTAGAAGTGAATTTTTAATGCATTGCGTTGTGAAAATGCATCCGGGACCGTGCCGTGAGAGGATCGAATAAACAACATGTAAAATCAATAAATATATAAGAAAAAACACATAAAAGATATAAAGAAAACATAAGTAATAGGTTTCCACATTAAATACCAGTTTATTCAAATTCCTTACAATTAAAATTAAATCTTATCTTAATCAGAGAGTCAAATTTCTTATTCAGGTTACCATTTTAATTTACTTATTTTAGACACAGGTGAATTCTTCAATTTGTCATTTTCTTTTGTTACATTTAAATTCATGATTTGCAAATCTATTACATGACTCTTTTAATTTAACGGGTACCCGTTCTATAATTTCTAAGAGGTTAAGGAAAACATATTATTTGCAATTCACATCTGTTCTAAGGAAGATTACACAAACAACTTAAATTATTACATCCTAATTCATATAAAAACCTTAAAGTTTGTCTCGGTAATTTGAAGGGGAAAGGGAAACAATTGAAAGCCTGAGAATTAATTTAAGATTCGACGTTGTTATTTTACATTCCAAGGAAGTCGTTGAAACCTTACTTAAAGTTCAAACACAAAAAAATAGAACTTATCTTGTAAGGACGTCTTGAAGTGGAGGACTCGTATCCTAATAAGCGTTGACGTCGGCGGGGCAGATTTTTACGGTCACAAATGGAAGTTTCAGAAGACATCGTCCTGTCCTGGCACTATTGGCGAAACACACACGCAGGTAACTGGTTTTCACAACGACGAAGCTATTTTTACTCTGGAAAACAGAAACAGGAGCACTGCTGCCCAGCACGGCTGTCCGCCTGGTCTTGAAAGTCTTAAGTCACTCGCCCGGTTCAATTTCGCCTTTTAACCAGAACGCGGCAGGGGAGCATGTTTGCAGCTCCCGGCCGGAAACCTCTCTCTAGGCAATTACAGCTCGCCTTCACTCGCTCATTCCAAGAGCAAGCTCGAAGTTATAATCTTAGCCCAAAAGTAAGCAAGTCCACCCAGTAAGTGATTCCAAGAGTAAGAAGAATAAGTGAGTAAAGTCTCTCGCCTCTTAGTCCAAAACAAGGCTGGGGAGCATATTTGCCGCTCCCCGCCGGAAAAACGTCTCTCTTCGTAAATTACATCGTGTTTATCTACTTGCTCAACCCCAAGAGCAAGTTTCAAGAGTAACGTCTAAAAGTAAGTTCCGCAAGCAAGTCTTGCCAAGTCTCGCACGAAAAGTGATTCAAACCTCGAATTTTCTTCGTCTCCTTCACAAACGCGGGCTTCCCACTATGGCTTCAATTATCACCCCCTTAATTTGGGCAAAATTTGCGTTTCATTTCAACCCCTGAATGCGGAAATAAGGGGGATCGCGCATGCGCGCTCCTTCCTTCACTTAGCCAACAACCGGACCCTTCCGATCGCCAAAACCTGAATGTCTTACATCGAAAGTCATGTGGCAACCTCTGACCCTTCTGTCACGTACTTCCTGTCCTAAGGTCAACTGCAGAATGAAATTTCTTCTAGAACATTCTAAAAGACAAAGCGCGCGAAATCATGACTTAGTAAAATTGCCTCCCTTTCCCTGCTTTTTTCACAATGAATCAAAGCTTGTACAAAAATTGCAAATAAAAGAAAAATAAATAATTTTCTTTTAAACTAAATAATATTCCCAGAAGCATCTGCTTTTCCCCAAAATTAAAGCATTAAATTAAATAATTCAGAATCAAATAAAATTAAGATTTCCATAAATCAGAAAATCATTCACCTAGTTTTTATAACGCGATCAGAAATTCTCTACACAACAATATTATTCAAAATTTTAACTTTTTGTTTGTTTCTTCCTTTTTTAAAAATGTTTTGTAAGAGTAAATTTTTACCTTCGCTGTGTAGTCTGCTACTTTGCTTTAACTTCATTTAAACTGAATTGTCTAAAACTGAGAAAGTTCATTTGATGTTTATTTTCAAAATGTTTTTAAGCATACAGGACGTTGACAATTTGGATTATGTCCCAGCTTTAAATATATATAATATATATAAATTTTTACATTAATCCTTAAGAATGTTTTAAATAGTAATTTTGTCTCATGTTGTAGATTATATAAAAATGTTCTTTAACATAGAAATTATTAGGCTTAGATTGTTTGCACCCGATATAAAAATCGTGCCACTCCGGGGTACATGATAAGCGCCGCTGGAGTGGTTTATTTCCTTTTCATTTAACAAAAATCTTGTGATTCAAATAATTATCCTTTGAACTTTGCTTTAAACTTGCATTTGATGCAACTGATATTTTAAAAAAATTGATAGGAATACAAAATTTATGGAAGTGTAACAATCGAAAAATTTTAATTTTTTTGTGCCAGCACTGAAAACAAATGTAGAAGTAATGAAAGAAACTGGGGGGAAGCAAAAACTTAAATGAGAATCTACTTCAAGGAAGTTGGGTGTTCAAAGAGAAAACTCTTGGATGTGCATACCAGCAACTAATAGCAGCAACTGAGTTAGTACTAACAGAAAAGCAAAAACCATATCATTGCAGATTGAATTGAAGAGCGACTGTATGGTTGTATAAATTTAAGTTACATCATAGAACATCATATCGTATCGTAAATGGAACCATCCCATAATTTCTCAGTCAAATTATTTGAAGCTTCAAGAATTTATCCAGTGACGTTATAAAGTATTATAACGTCACTGGATAATTCCTGCCCCCACCTTCGTAGCTTGCATTCGTGGTGCAGTGGTCTGCATGCTTGGTGCATATTCGAGAGGTCCGTGGTTCCATTTCCAGCAAGGACATTGCTCATTTTTCATTTCCTCTACTTCCTGCCCCCAAAAAAACTAATGTCTCTGCAGTGGCGCCCGAACTAAAAGGTGGTGAATGATGATTCTTCACCACCAGGCTTTGGCGACTGGGTCCCCTAATCCCCAATCGAGCTTTAAGGGGGGGAGTGTATAAGGTATTTCTCCCGCCTTCTTAGTGTGCTTTCTTTGTGTAGTGTTCTGCCCGCTCGGTGCGTATTCGAGAGGTCGTAGTTCGATTTCCCGGCGAGGGCATTGCTCATTTTTCAAGTCTCCTGCTTCCAAAAATCCTAATATCTCTAAAACATATATGGATATCATCTAAAGACGCTTTCCCGCTTGATGAAACTAGTCTTTCCTTTTTCTCATGCCTTCAAAATGCTTAGCCACTAAAGACTGATGAAGGCTCTGACCAAATACTGATGAAATGGATTGAATTGGATTATTAAATTACGGCAAAGCAGGGC